AGAGTAAGTATTAGGCTGTACAAACAGAGTAGTAGAATGGGGAGATTCTGAGACATTTCTATCCCAACCACTGGACACCTGTAAGCAAACCCAGACTTTGTATGTAAAGTCAAAAGCCATCTATGGTGTATTACTTTCTGCAAGTTTTGTGCAACAGCAGCATGTTTGTTTAAAGGTGCTGTAATCTCCTTAAATGTAACAGTAATTCTCATGATATTTACAAGCAAAAATATTTATCCAGTGATGGTCAAAGTAGGTGTGTTTTCAAACCATTTAACAAAGAAATTATGACTCTGTAATACTTAGAACTGTGTAAGTCAAGCTAAGTGTGCTGTCATGTAGTAAGATCTTGGAATTGGCTGTATGAAACCAAGACTTAGATGGTTCTGTAAATCACTCAGAAGTAATAAAACAACTAAACAAAGACAAATGCCTAAACTTTTCCTCATAAGGTCTCTCAAGATCTATTTCTCATCTACCATCTTATTGGTATAAGTACAATTTTATCATTGTGTAATTTTTTTATCAAAATTACACAAGCAAAACGTAAAAAATAACTTCTCGTGAACCTGTTAGACATAAATACTTTTTAAAAAGTAGCATCTAACGAAGTTTACCCATCTCCTTGATATCTTGAATATACTTTCGTAAAATAAATCAGTGTAATTTGGTTTTATTGTTCTTAATGTTTTCTTTTTTCTTTTCTAAGTCTCAAAAAACAGCTCTTTTTCTAGTGCTTTGTAACCCCTTTGAAAACTTTTATGATGGATTAAAAATACTAAGATCATTTAACATTAATTCTGTATGAGGCATTTTCCCCTTTACTCAATTGTGAAGGCTGTAGAGAATATCATTAATTTTCAGCTAGTCTGTATGAATTACGATGATTCGTTATATACAGACACATTAAGGAATTATTTGCCTAAAACTATTAAAAATCCCTTCCATTTTACTTTACTTGTGGTGTGGCAGTCCAACACACTTGATGTTCTGCCCACCAAACCTAGCCTGACTTTCTTGGTAGTCGGAAGTGTACTTTGGGGTGGGTTTGTTTTGTCTGTTTGGTTTAGAACTGTCCACTTAAAAACTATAGTAGGCCAAGCACCTCATGGTGGCACCAAAGTACATAAATGGAAGAGAGGTAAAGCAGCAACAATGTCTTCATCAAATGCAGGCGAAATAAGTCTCTTCAGGACCTGTTATGCAGACCACTTCCTTAGTACTGTGTTTTCAGTGGTGATTGTTACAGGAATTTTCAGAGAGAAGTACCTTTCCCCATAATGGATATCCCTTCCTTTTCATTAAGTAACTGTTTGATGTTTTAAGGCATAACTTAATAGAATTTCACTCTTCACAGCTGTGGCTGATCACACAACACAGCAGTGATTTCATTCATAAAAATGTATGTTTTGAAAGTTAGCACACTCTTGAGCTCAGCAGATTCTACAAGTTACTAGGTTTTGTTTGGTTTTTTTTTTTAAAGATGCCTTTAATTTTAAACAGTGAAATCTCTTTTGTATTAAGCAAAGTAAACAAAACTAGTAGTAGGACTGTGTTTTAAGTACTTCCCAAAGTATTTAAAGGGAGGGGTATCTTAATGTGTATCAGTATCTGATAGGGGCAAGGGAGGTAAAGAAGATGAAACCAGATTCTTGTCAATGGTGCCCAGTCAAAGAGTAAGAGACAGTGGACATAAATTGAAATGACAGGAAATGCAGTTTGGCTTGAATGATACTTCAGACTATAGCATAGATAATAATTGTGCAGTTAAATAAGTGGTTTGAAAACACGTCTTCATGCAAATTGTATTTCTTGGATTTTACTTCAGCTTTGTGCACCTTACTCATTAACCTTTTTGGACTCATATCCACAAAAGAAATGTTTACTTTTTGTGACTTCTTGAACCTCTAATTGGAAACAAACAGGATATAATTAGGAAGATTTCCGTCTTCATTAATGTCATCTTGCAACTTAAGGGCCATGGGTGTATGTTTCTGTTGTGATTTGTTTGGGGGTTTTTTGTTTGGGTTTTAGGTGGTTGGGTGGGGCTTTGTTTGATTAATTTGGTTTTGTTTTTTTAATCTGGCTTCCTAATAAAATGAGACTTAAAAGTTGCACTGTCCTTTTATTACTGTCTCTAACTGCCTTTAAATAATTTTTTAACCTGTTGGTCAGTTTCAGCCACATTTAACATACGGTGCATGTATCAAAGATGCCACAGGGTTCTTAAACAGAATCTCTTGTAAGAAGGATCCTGGTTTTGAGCTCACTAAGCAATAGGCTGCAGCATGGGTTTTCCCCCTTTTTTAAACGTTAGAGTGCGCACTGACTGGGGAATGCTGGAGGATTTCGTAAAATCTGGTGCTTGTTCTTCTGATTGGAGCACCTCTGTGTCACTGCAGTAGAACCGTGGTTTACTGCGTAGTCAGTTGCTTGTATAAGATACACAGCCCTTTATTATGCTTTTTATTAAACTGTCATGTTAAATGAGTTGTGGAATCAACTGATAGGTGACAGAAGAGTGTCATCTATACCACCTTTTGAAAATAAGAATTGTTTTTTTCATGTACCTTAATTTGAAATCTGTTAGAGATTCTCACATTTTTACATGCTCTGTAGGTTCATTACACCTTTTAAAATAGAAACAGCTAAATTAGCTGAAGCCTCCTAGAGAAGCTGTAAATGAATAACACATTTGCTTTCTTTTATAAATGTAATGTAACATGTCCCATGATTAAATATTACTACAACTGGATTTTCCAAGCAATTTCACTAATACTTGGAACAATCAGAGCTCCAGATGCAATCTTGGCTTTTTTTGGGAGTCAGTCCAAAGAAGGAGGAAAACACATTCCAAAAGAAAGCAAACTGATTTACATACTGTAAGCATGTGCTAAAGTTTGTTTTGGAAATGCCCTCAGCCACCTGGGATTGTAGGTTTGGATTAAATGAGTTAATCCATTGCCAAGTGACACTGCATATATATTAATGATGATTTTCTGAAAGGTATATCTTAGACTATAGTTTGACAACATTATGACATTTCAAAATGAAAACAGTAAACATTATTTACTTTCAACATGCTTACATGTACATAGAATCTTTGTTTTCTGAACAGGTTAATGGTCTTAAAAAAGGAAAGATGTCTTGGCAACAAGCCAGGATCTTCTGCTTTGATGATAACTCATTTGCTGTGTAACAGACTCTGTGAGTGGATCCTGTCTGATTTTGAAGTTGCATGTAAAAATAAACCCAACTCAGTTCTGTCATAACATGACTACTAAATTAAGGCATTTGCTGTCTCTTGATTTTTCATTATTTCATAAAATAGTGTTAAATATGATCCATTCATACTGTTGTTTAGAAAGATTGTAAATGTTCTAGAAGTGTGGGTGGGTGGAGGTTTTTTTCCTAACTTGGCATTCTAAGATTTAACCCCGGTAGTCTTTATTTCTTCATCTACAGAGATAGAACAAAATGTGTAAGTATCACAAAGCCAACAGCTTAAGATGTTAAGCCAAGAATGTCCCAATGCCAAATAACATATTAAAATATCCAGGTGTAGATTACTTTTTAATCAAGTGGGGCTGGGGTGAAATGGTCCATTAAATCGAGTTAATTGTGAGTTTTTTCTTTTATGTCCTTATGAGTAATTTTTCGTGCCTGTGTTACCAACTTCATTTCTAGATGATTTATTACTTCTTAGTTGGTACATCGATTAATTTTTGTTTATGCTGTTTTCACTTTCACCTTTTTGTCTCCTGTTCTCTCTCTGCTTACAATATGCCACATCTATACTAATTCCAAAGTAACCGTATATTCTAACTCTTTTTTTTGTTTGCTGTGAGCTGTGGTCCAAGCAGCTCCTTTTTCAAACTTTTCATCTACATTATTTTTCTATTTGATTCACTGACCTTTTGACAGTGCCTTTGCCTACAGATTAGATTACTTTCTTACACCATTTGTCAGCATGTGTGGATTAAACAGAAGCAATGTAAAGTTCGTTTCCTTATAGATCTTATGTTTGTCAACAGTTCTTTTGTTTGGCATAAACTGAAGTAACATTTTACTGTGGATTTTTCCCCCTTTTTCTAGGTTTGCATGACAATACTTAGGACATACATCACTATCAAAGAATCAGGCCTTCTAAAACGTGCAGGTATGATGTAGTAGCAGCTTTTGATGCATCTTCGATGCTTAGCTTATTGAAAGGAAATTGAATAGATTCTCAAGAGAGAAATGGGTGCCACTTCAACAGTAAGAAATGCTGATCTTGAAGGAATACATTCAATCCACATGTTCTCATGTCCCATTTGCTCATTGAAGCTAGGTATTTAGATACACAGTTATCTCGTGAGGTTGTTACAAATCTTACTTCCACAGAAAATTAATTTAGCCTGAATGGAACTAGACTTGAGAGCAGAAATGAGTAACTGGGGCAGGGAGGAGATTTAACAGAACAAAAGTTTTGTTAAGGTGCCTTTGAACGCTCTGGCCAAACATCACAAATCCAAAAACTTTAGAATTAAGCTCTTGAAATGAAGCGCACCCAGACAGCTTTAATTTAGTCCTTTCACATTACCTTACATGCAAACAACTATGATTAACACATTTTAGGGACTGTAGTTGATCCAGATCCATGTGAGCTTTTGAGTTCAGTCACAAAGGGCTGAATTTCAGTCTGGTCTGTCATTCCCTTTGTACCTGTCCTAAGCAGTCTTAAGTTTTTGAAAGCTTATTAGAGCATAGCACAATGTGAACATAGGATCCAGTCACACTCTGTGTAGTATGTTCCCATGCTGAAATACCAAGCATTTTAAATGCAAGTAACACTGGGTACCAGCAGGCTACACAGTTCATCTCTACCAAGGCTATCACTGGAACAGGTTGTAAGACCATCCACCATGGTAACACTGCACTTCACTTTCTAAAACTTCATGTCTGGAAAGGCCTTACTACCTTGATGCGCTTACCAAATCTAACCTGGTTTTGTGCATTATTCTGGTGCTATACCAAATTAGCTGAGCTTTCTTGAAACCTAAAGGGCTTATGGTGTTCAGTTCAGTGACATGACATGTTTCAGAACAGTCAGTCTGGGTCTAGTAAGGTTAACACTGGTTAACTATTCAAACTGGATCCTTTCACCCATTTTTCTCCCTATTGCTGTCCCATAATATCCTGTGTAATTAAGGGTTGTTACACTGCATTTAAAATTTAAGGAAATAACTTGTTTGAGTATTTAGCATCAGCTTAGCCAATGGGCTAAAGTTAAATTAATTTAATTGCTTTTTCAGTCCAAATATTTGTGAAATATTACAAAGAAGTTACTCCTGGTGTGGATTTTGCTTTTCAAGTACTGAATGATCTTCTGGTTTCTCTGCTCAAGAAATGTTTATTGCATGAAGTATTTCAGATACTGAATGTAACTGTACAAATCAGTACACTGGTAGGTGACCTTAAATATTTAAAAATATTTATATTTTAT